GAAGGAACTTTGTCAGCATTGCGCACATCTGGTATATTTGATGGTGCTGAGTCAGTAACCAGTTCATCCAGCTACCAGAAACTTGAGCAAGGGTACCGAAAGCATGTTCAGCTGCAACGCACCAGCCCAGCATCACCCATGGCCCAGTTTTGGCTAACATACCTCGACATGGTTGGCCTGCTGCTTCAATTCATCCGAGCTACGCGGACAGGGAACTGGTCGCTACATCTGGCATGCATAGAGAACATGTTGCCATGGTTCTTTGCATACGATCAACAGAACTACTCCAGGTGAGATGCTTGGGCCCTTCATTAAGTTATCAGCTGTGTGACCGACGCAATTAAAACATTTTGCTTCAAATACGAATCATTCAGTTCTCCTAAATTGAGTTCTCATTACATTGTGCTTCACAGGTACCTGTCGCTGTATTGGCAACAAATGCGTCAACTGCCTGCTACCAACCCTCCTGCCCACAAAGCCCTATCAGGAGGTTGCTTCTCTGTTGCAAGGTCTACGAACAGCTTCTCGAAGGTGGCTGTTGATCAGTGCATTGAACAGACCATCAACCGGCAAAGCAAGTCACATGGAGGACTCATTGGCTTCAGCCGCAACCCAGGTAAGGGCAAAAATTCGTAACAACTGACCAAACTTCAAATTATCCAATAGAACCTACATGTACACTGATAGGGAGATACTTCCTGATGATCCCACATGCAAGATCAAACAGTAAGCAACCAATGTACACTATGCAAACACAGTGCTGCCCACCTGCATCACGAATAGGAAGTGATTCGACTCTAATGTGATCCTGAACAGTTGTGGATTACATGTACATGATGATGTATTTCTCCTTCCCTTTTCTGTATAATTGTCCTTCAAGGAACTGTTCACCGCTGGGTGCTCACAGCTCACGAGCGAGCGGCTGTTGCAAGTGCATGTAACGACCTCGTCAAAGCGGAGGACTATGATGGCACAGCACGTCCACACAAGGACAACACAGACAGCAGAATGACGGGATCAAAGCGACTATGGGAAGCTCGAAAAGCGGTTGGCAGAGTTCAGCCATCCGTTCCTTGGTGAAGATTTGATCAGCCTCTCCAGTGGGAAAGTCTGTTCTGCTCAAGCAACCTCCGATCTCCTATCCAGTCACACGCAGGGAAAGAGTGCAATGAGCAAGTTCGTGGCAGACCGCTTGGAGAGTCAGGTAAGACGGTTATGATTTTGCAGCACACCATGTTAAAAGTTTTGACGTGTGGATATATGATAGGATGCATGTTTTGGTGACATACTTTGTTACCAAACACATTGAAATCAAAAGTGACGCTGTAGGGGATGTTATAATTCCGTTCTGTACTCCGTAATCCATGCACTACGTTCTAAGTTGTCAACCCATTTGTGTGTGTGTGTGCGTGCGTGACTTGTTTCTTCCTACAGGCAGTTGATTTCTTCACACCGATATCACGGCTGAACCTGAAGACGTTCTCGGAAACCAAATCTGCAGCAAAGAAGTCTTCCAAGACAACAGCGATCGTGGCAGATAGGAGCTTATTCGGCCGGCTACTAGTTATGGCTCAATCAAGGGCATTCGACTTGAAGGAACTCTTCCAGCATGAGCTTGGACCAGTCCCATGGGCCCTGGCCAACGCAGACGGATCCCTTGTGAAGACTCCAAAGAGTAAGCTGCTGCTTGCTCTTGAGAAGAAAGTTGACCCACTGGAGTCAGTTCCGCGTGGTCCTGCCGTTATGGTCGACGCGATGGCATTACTGCAGAGCTACACATCTGCGCCACCGACATTCGGACAGCTCAGCGAACAAGTCTTCAAGCAGCTAGTCTCCTACCTTCCAGCTACACCTCCAGCACGAGTTGACTTCGTAGCAGATCAATACCACACTGCGTCGATTAAGTCGTGCGAACGCTCAAAGCGAACGGCCTCAACTGAGCCCCTGCAAGTGGCAGTACAACGTCCAGACCAGGCTATTCCTACTCAGTGGAAGCGGTTCATGGCAAGCGGAGCGAATAAGGCCGGCCTAATCCAGTTCTTCGCTGACCATTGGAGTTCTACACCGGAGCTCAAGGCAACATTGGGTGTCGGTCGCAGTGTATTCATAACCGTGGGACAGCAGTGCTACGTGTTGCAAGAAGAAGAAGGGAAATCGACACTTTCACGGCACCAGGTGTCCAGGTTAGTATTATAAAAGACAAACAGTACAATGTCATGTTTATTGCGACTTTAACTATTGTCAAGCAAGTGGTATAAAACATTTGCTGCATATTGGTCCCACAAGTACAAGTAGGATATTGCTGATGGATTGAATTCAGTGATGAAAATCACATAATCTGGCAGAGCCATGTTATCGTTCTCTGAATGCCCGGGAAATCATTTTGCTCTTTTTACAATTTTGATCATGTTCACAGGTTGACCAGCAATCATGAGGAAGCAGACACCCGGCTGATCCTTCATGCCGCTGATGCTGTGCAGCAAGGATTCCCAGATGTTGTCATTCGGTCGCCAGACACGGATGTAGCCGTGATTGCCATTGGCTCCGCTAGCAGCATTCCCGGTCGGCTCATATTCCAGACTGGCACGCAGCAACGGAGGCGGTTCATCGACCTTACCCAGCTGTCACAGAAGCTGGGCCCCCTGGTTTCATCTGCAATTGTTGGACTGCATGCTCTTACTGGGTGTGACAGTGTCAGTTCCTTTTCTGGGAAGGGAAAGACTGCTCCGCTGAAGCTGCTCCTGTCAAGCACGCGAATGGCAGAGGCACTGGCGACACTGGGTGTCAATGCTACATCGGATGACCAGCTGCTTTCTGAATGTGAGTGGTTTGCGTGTGCCTTGTATGGCAATCCTGGCCAGCAAGACATCAACAGCCTGCGCTACCAAAAGTTCTGTGCGGCCACATCCTGTGCTCCGCACAAACTACCGCCCTCACGCGACGCTCTCCATCAACATGTGGCCAGGGCTAACTACCAGGCCCACATTTGGCGAAGCGCCACCACTGCGATGCCAGAAGTACCGAGTCCAGTGGGCCATGGCTGGCAGTCGGAGACTGACGGCACGCTTTCCATCTCCTGGATGCTGCAGCGCGTCGCTCCTGCTGACATACTAAAACTGGTGACCTGTGGGTGCAAGACAAGGCACTGCGTAAGTCAGCACTGTTCGTGCAAGAAGGCGTCCTTGGCTTGCACGGACATCTGCTCGTGCTGCTCATGCGCCAATCCGTTTGGGGCCGTACTCGAACAGAACGACAGCTCCGGTGTCGCAGATGTGGGAACAACTGCATGTGAAGGCGACCAAAACAGTGAGAGCAAGGAAAGTACTGGTGCTGACGACTTTGAAGAGTCTGACTCCAGCTCAGATTCTGATGAGGATCCAGATCAGGAGTTGGACGACTCGCTGTAGACACTGGCAACTGCACCGTCCTCCCCTGGTCCAAGCCACCCATTGTGTTTGTGAATTATGGCTATGGCTGTCAACACACCTAACCTGTTCACACATTGTATATAAACTGCTTGTACATAGCTTGGCTTCTAAAGTGATGACGCTATCATCCTACATTTTATTCCAATGTACATATTAAACTGGACATATTGTCCATGAATTGCACAGCACTGGACATGTCTTCCTTACTACAGTTGTAGTATTTGTTTATTTCATTTTCGATTGAGTAGTGACTACAATGCGTTTATATCATTTCTACTCTAACTCTAATTTAATCGAGTGCTATTGAAGGTGTGTGTGCCTGAGAGAGAAGCAGGGAAAGGGTCCAAGCTTACCTTCGCAGAATGATAGGTGTCCCTCGTATCGATCGTATCAACGAAATTCCAATCAAGAAAACATTTGAGATCACTCGCGAAGCGGCGTCAAACAACACGACACGACGGGTAGTTTGTTGGCTGCCATTGCAAGTGGGTAGTGGAAGGACCAAACGATATCTAGGCTAGGCTTACGAAGTCCCTGTGCTTTACTTCTACAAGAGCGAGAGTAAACTTCTTGACCAAGAATATGATGGCTACAACAAAGTGAAGTCGCCGACCAGATCAGACACTCGCTTTGAATTTTCAAATTTGACTGCATTTGGTTGTCATGTGCGTACTCTACGCAACTCAGAATCGGCCCGAGACGAAAGGTGAGCAGTTCAAGTGACCGACGAAGCTGAACTAAAATTGCCTCTCGCGGAGCTCCTTCCCCGATCTAGACGGGCCAACAACTACCATTCGACTCCACAACAGGTACTCTCTCCACCTGTACAGTTCGATTTTACTCGGATTCTAGTGGCAGACCACTTTTAGATTTAGACACTTTTTTTGTCTTGGATCCCCGACTATTTTACTATTCTTAAGCCATGGCTAATTCCCGGACCCTCTCGGCTGGGTTTACAGTGTCTTGTTTTCCACCCAGCTGCATGTAGTGGTCTTGTTTGGCTTCCACCCGGCCTTGGTCGTGAGAAAATTGGTGAGTTGTTGTGAACCCTTCTGATTCTCTAAAAGTCAGGAACGAACGACCACACGGCACGAGGACAACTACTAACTCTTGACGGTCTATTTTACTTCGATCGACTAATAATAATGAAACAACTAACACTAAAACCACCAGGTAGTTATAGCGTGAACATGACAGCGTATATAAGAAAAGCATACACATACAATATACAACTATAGCGCACACAGCAAACCGCACATAGCGCCTGTAGCGCATACCACGTCGTAAACATCAGCGGTACGGCGGAGTCGAGATACAACTGCATTGAAACGAACACAATGTCACAAGCGAGAAGGCCTTTCACTCTTGAGAACTTGTGGTTTCGCAACATGCGTGTTCAGCAGTATGGGATAGCTGGAAGTGCAATGCAGGTGCACGTGTGCAGTGACAAATGATGGCTACTTGAGGCCACGAAAATAAGGGTAAATCCATGAAGATTGATTTTTTTTGCTCTGGCTTTTAGCGCAACATGTTTGAAATTAGACAGCTGATAGCGTACTTAGTACTACATACCACTAGATGTGTCAGGTGCTTCCCATTTTGTCTGCACTTCAGAGCTGGACATTGCAATGGCAACCATGTGCATTACAGGACCCGGTGCTGTATACAACAAAAGAAAAAAAAAAGAAGATGCCTGTTGAACTGGAGAGAAAGTACCAACCTACAGCCGCTGTACAGAGGAACACAAATTGACAAGACTCTGCTCCGGGATGACATACTATCCACGATCGGAGGATGGCCAAACTGTGCTTGACTGGAATTTCTTTCTAACAGTTGCTCATGTCACGCAAACAAAACAAGACTGCAGAGTACTGACTGCTTTCTGAGCTACAGAATGCACATTGCAAGTAGGTTTTGCTAAACAACACAGTCACTGAACCTTGCCGTGCAAGAACATGAACACACTTGCAATGACATCTCGGCACTAGTAACAAGACTACACAGATTAAAAGGGCGAGAAGACAGATATACCATTGCACCTAATAATAAGGAGCAGTCGAAGTAGGTAATAGAAAATAAGTCATTTTCGTAAAAGAACTTGCTTCTCATTTCATTCCTACAGCAGCCATCGAGAAAGACCACGGCTCAACACCATGAAAATTACAATTGAACGAGGGACAACACAAGGCCAGATTGCCCAGCCTCCCAAAAAGCGCCAGTACAATTGGATGCGGAAAACCCCAATTGATACGTTTCCAACTCACTGATTTCTTCAGGTGTGAAGTTGATCCAAGCCTTCTGTCCAACACCAGCTCTATTGATAGCTGCAACTGAAATTCGGTATGTTGTGAGGTATCTCAGACCAGACAAGGAGATTGAGTTGCTGAACCAGCCTGGAATAACAAGAAACAAATCAATGACATCAGGATGACACAGGTAATGCTAGGTAGAGCTTTTGGATTTTCTGCATACTATGGTGAGTTCGTTTGCAACCAGAAAAGGTCAAATGCAATGATGACGCACTCATAGAAACTTACTTTCATGAAAGGAGACAGATCCACGTAGAGAGCAGTTGTATTGCTGACATGGACAGTCCTGATGTGTAGCACATTCAGTGGCATTGAAAGTAATTTGATATCCAGTGAGTACTCCATGGGAAAGTGCTGGTGACATTGGCTGTAGGAATAACGTGCATGAATCAAAATGGTATAACATGTATTGGAAATTGAATACAAAATATCTTGATAACTCAGATTGGAGAAGTGTGGTAACTTATTGTCTGAGTACACGTTGCAGAATTGTAGAGGTATTTCCCACTCACCAGCATTTGTCATGCCGTTCCACGGCACGAAACATTAGAAACTGATAATGCTGTTGGGTTCCTCGAATCTTTCAGAATAGTTCTGAAAATCGAGCGATTTGTGTGTACATCTGGTGGTGGATTCTGAAGGCCAGGAGCTGTTTTTGAGTAGTGGGAATGACCAGGTTTTCCACGGCACAAAATAGTTTTACATGTGATGACACAACAACTAACACCATCACAAATGTATACTGGAAACTTCCTAACATACTCTTTTCATGGATACAATCAAAGAATCATAGTATGGCTAGTTGCTGGATAGACAATTTCATTGTGTTCAATATTGCACTGTTGTCTCACCTTGAAGAAAACTGCGACGTGTCCTGCTGAAGACGACACTACGGACAGATGTTCTGGCTTTGCAGGAGCTGCACATCCATCAGTCCAAAATAGTTGATCGATTACTTTCCAGATGATCAAACACTTGTGTCGTTTGAGTAATGAACATGATATTGCAAAAAATGCTACTTCTAAGTTCGTATTGTTATACATTATGCAGACATGCCACTAGTTGTTGGAGGTGACAGCAATGTGAATAGCTACTGCCTCGCAGTATCTGTTCTGCACCAATCCATGAGTGACTCTGACTGACTCTGCTACCTGTGGCCACAGGATGTGTTCATCGCATTGGAAACGGAGCGTCACTGTAACTCTGTGTCCCTAGTGAAGTTTGGGCTCCTTGAGGGCTATAATGTAGCACTTCTGGAGCACAGGTAAAATTAGCATGCTCAAGCTCAACTAATGAGGGTGGATTTCCCGAAATGACCATGTGTCGAGCAGAGTGCGGTGCTTTCTTGCGGGTTTGCCAAGTGGAAGGTGCGCTTGATAGCCTCCTCGTGTTCTCTGGATGGCAGTCGTGAGTCAGCCAAGTTGCAAGTTTGGCAGGAAGCGTGTTCTACACGCAGGAGCAACCAAATTCCTTTTTCAGTGATGTTGGTAAAAAAAACTTGATATCGCAGATTTTTGCTTGGCCGTGGAATCGAAATTTTCAACTAGGATAGGTTAGAAACCATTTTGAATTTTAGCAGCAGTTGACTTAGTACACTATGATCACTGGAAAACATGTTCACCGTACACCGTACGTAATATACATGAGTTGCTGAGCTGTATTTGTGTGAGTACATGAGCCAGTACGGTGTTAGTACTGTGAATAATGAGTGCATGACAAGGTGACGTTGAAGTCACAGTCCAATGGAGCATACACCAATGAAAATGTTCTGAAGCAGCTGTGAACCACTGAGCTAGAGATAACATGCATCACCGCTCCATGTTGTGGTGAGTTTTTTTTTTTTGTAGTGCGTGAGGTCATGTGATATACAACACAGCAGGTACATGCCTTATAAGTTATGACCACTTCTGCATATATGTCTTATCTTCCTTTTCTTTTTCTCCTTTCCCTACAGGGATGAATTTACTGTCAATTGTTTGCATAGCAGTGTTTGCCAAACAATATCTCAATTGTGTAGCAGTCTTTGATTTTTGGTAAGCACGTTCCTTTGAAGGTTGAGTGTGTTCGCAACATTTTCCCTGTTGAGAGTGATTGCTGAAAAATGATCTTAGAAAGAACGACTGTAATTTATTTGACCACATAAGGGCGCCTGGCGCTTCTTACACACCTGGCTGAGAATTATTTCCCCTGCCGTGTATCCATCTTTCCATATTCCCCCTGGTGTGTCTGCATCTTTCTCATAGCGAAGCCATTCTTTTTGACATCAAAATTTGACACCCACTCGAAAGAATTCTGTCAGGAAGATTTTTATGGACCAAAATCAGACCGAAAATACTGAACTTCAGATGGAACAGCTACAGTGAAACCTGTCTAAGACGACCACTCAAGGAACCTCATAATCACAGAATCACAGGTCCCCAGAGGGAAGCTACACAAAGCGACTGAACCACAGCATGTCACTTACGTGATTCCAGAGTTTGGAGCTTGAGAAGTGGACTCGGAAAGCTGATACCAACTGCATTCTCTGCACGATACCAGCAACTGTACTTGGTGGCTGGTTGAAGACCAGTAACAGTGACACTGGTCACTGAAAACCTCTGTACAGTGTCCTTCACATATGATCTGTACTCCACATCAGGTCTACAAGTGACTTCATAACTTGTTATTGGTGAATTGCCAGTTGATGATGGTGGGACTAGACGAAGACCAACCAACCTTGCTAGAAGAAAGTGTGGCATAATTATAGCAGGCACTGGGTTGAGCCAAAATCTTGGAATATCTACACAGATACAAAAGATAACACCCAAAATTGAAACAGAGTGAAGTATTCATTAGTTGAAAGAAAGTGAAGTATCGTAGCTGTTTTGATAAATTGGCCTTTCCAAAAACCCCTATAAGGCCATGGTAAAAAATACCTTTGATTCTCAAGTACGCGCGCATCGATTTTTGGCGGCGCACCGACGATTTTTTTTATTTCTATGCATGCATATGCGTGCATGAAAACGGTCAATGCGAAAGGCATGAATCCGGGAGTAGTAAAATACCGGTATTTTTCTACTCCCTGGCCTGAATAACGAGAGAGCTTGGAAGCTCAGGGCCCTACGCTATGCTTTGTTACTTAGCTCATCGTGCATGTTGTGGGAACTGATGGAAATGTTTCCTGGGAAGGCGCTGACTCTGCCGAGCACGCGCGTTCTGGAGTCGACGGGATCACTCTGCCGACGTTTCCTGTGACCGGCGCTGAATCGCCCGTTCACGCCTATTTTGGAGACGACGGGATCTCTCTTCCAAAGTATGTTTTTGCTAACGCATCCTATCACCTATTCGGCAACTAACATCCATTCTAATTTCATTTCCTCCTCGTCTCCCTATTTCTTTCCAGAAAGTCTCTCTATACATCAGGGAGTCGTACTGTATTGGCAGCTTCCCTAACGGGTCACGCCGCCCACCACCCAAGCATGGGTATGATGAGGGACAGTGGCAACAGAAACAAAAAAAACAGCAAGCAGGGAGAGAAAGCAAGAGAAAGACGACGATAGTAGTACATCTGGTGTGCGACGTATAGAAAAGAGAGATGACAAGAGATGCGCACAAAATAGGAAACAATAATTATTTTTGCAGTTCCGAAACAATCAACCAGGTGATGGAGTGTGGGCACCCGAAGTCCCACCTGGACTCCACTGGAAGAACATCCCACGCAGGGATATCAGCGATAGGCCAAGCGTTGAAAACCAGCCATGAGGACACATCGTCTAGAAGTCCACTGCGCTCGAACTGAAATTGCAGGTTCAAACAATTTCCCACGCGGCGTCAGGCAGCGTAACTCTGCTCCCTGCATCACCATCCATCTCCAGCAACCGTCTCCACTCACAGCTCATGCCTCTGCCACCACTGTACTCCTCCGAGCTTCGCAGTTTGAAACCATTCGGGGGTCAGCTACACCACCGCGAATGGAGAGACGAGGACGACAACGGTCGTGACTGAAAAGACGCTGCCTTGGCGACCGCGTCGCGGAACCCTCGCCCCAGCAAATTCAGAAATATGCCAGGGGCAACTCTGGTGGACCCAGAGCCACCCCCTTGGCAAGACTAGTAAGAGGAACGACTGAAAACTCAGATAAAACAGAGCTACAAAAAGTGCAACCGTCCCCTTCAAGCACAGCTGCAACACACAGGGAGTCGTATACATGTACATAATATTGTGGCCAGCTGTTTGTAGCCAGCTGTGTTTGATGGTACGGTACGGTACGGGACAGATACGGGAGCCAGCAAATGGCCAGCTGTGCGATACGGTACGGGACAGATACGGGATTGCGCCAGGCGTGACACAAACAAACAAACAAACAAACAAACAAACAAACAAACACCAAATTAAAGCTGTGTGGACCCTGGCTAGCGCCAGACGTTACTGAAGTAACGTCTTCTGCATAGCTACGGGAATAAAATAATTATAAACCTGTGACGTCATGACGTACACATGTGTGACCCTATCTTTGGAAATAAAAAAAATTGTGGGAATTAAAATAAAAAATCGCTCGCTCGCACCGATTTTCACAGGCTCATGACCTGAGAATCAACTTTATTTTTTACCATGGCCTAACTGATGATTGGACCCAGTCACAGAGTCAAGAAAGACTCGTCCTTAGCTCTCTAGCAATATCTATGATAGCTAACATTAGCTTGCCCAATATTGAGTCTGTCTGATGACTTCATCATTTGAGGTTTTTTGTAAAGAATAGCATCACGATCATTAGTTTGCCAACCTTACTCAAAACAGTAGCGGATGAAGTCAAATGCCCTATTACCTTCAAATTTACACGTGAATATTCCCCCAAAGACTCCTACATTGGGGTTTTTTAAAACAGACATTTGTCGATTTTGATTTTTTAGTTTGTTCTCATTCCAAATTTGAAATTTTTTCTTCACAGCTGCGTTTGTGTGGGTCTTGGATCGAAGAAAATTAAGTTTGGGAATCGGAATAATAATAATTGTCAGAGTTAGATATTCGGACGGGTTTTGGCTGAAAATCCGGTTTTAAATGGTTTTCAGTGGATTTTGATTTTAAAACGAAAGTTTTAGCCAGGAAAGCTCATCATGTGCATGGTGTCCGCCAGAGTTCGAATCCAGTACATGACAGTTCATCTTGATTCTTCTTTTCTCTTCTTTTTCGGTACAGCGCATGCATGTACATGCACATAACTGTGCAGTTGTGCACTGCTGTCTACAGTTCTCCTAACCTTTGTAGGAAACCAGTGAGTCGTGGCTTTTCACGACTTACTGTGGCAAACTGTACTGAATAATTCGAATGCTGTATTGCAATTAGCTCAATAAAATTAATCAAAACATTCCAGCATGCATGTAGGAAACTTCCCTCGACCCCTGAAAGAATGCAGTGAAAATTCAAACACCACAACAAATCACAAGGGCAATTCACACAGCACCCATAAAGAGACTAAAAGGAAGCAATACATGAGCGGTTTTACAAACACACAAACACAAACACACACACACACACACACACACACACACACACACACACACACACAATGCAAATAGGTCACAGTTGTGTCTGGTTCAACATCTGCGAATATTAGAAGACCAGCGAGCGTCGAAACGGCCCCACTAATTCCGTGTTTTGTGTTGCACTTACATGTATGACGACAGTATTACACAGTGAACAGATGTGCTAGGACAGCCGACGACGTATATCATCGTTGGCGTCGGCCTCGTCGGTCTCCAGTCACGAACACATCGGCGCAGTTTTTCACGAATCCGTCCCGTCCACCAGTATGCAGAACAATTAAGAGCTTGCCTTTACCTGATGGTGCTTCATTTGGTTGCTTGCCTATACACTCCTGTCACCATTGTCGGACCACCTCCTAGTAACTGTGTGACGCGCATTGACCCACGTGTCATCCAGGTATGTCTCACAGGTAGCGATGCCGCCATGACACAATCCCGTGCCGTTCCATCATCATGTGTGTGATACCTCTGGTCTTGCCACACTGGAGTCCCATGGAACGCAACATTTTCCAAGAGCTAGTTTTGCTCATGTCTGGAAAATCGTCGATGCTTTCTATGCAGCGAGCAGGAACTTTGTCCAGTGTTAGATGCTCCTTCGCAGCATAGAATCCGTAAATTACTTCTTATACAGTCCAAAGCAAATCCGTCAGGGTTGAGTGGTTTTATGGCACGAGTCTCACATTGGGGATTGTCACTCTCGTTACCTTCATCACTGGAGACAGACAAGGCCAACGCAGCACGCTGATTTTCGCCGTCAGCATCCCTGGTACATCTGTTCATGGTGGAAATGCTGACGCCACACGCAACAGCAGCATGACGAATGGAATACTTGGGACCAATTCGATGCCCAGCCATTGTTCTCCTCGTCTTCGCAAAAATTGTAAAACAGACACCACCATGTAGATTCTACCATCGCCCGTTCGCGCTTTGTTATATGTAGCATGTCGAGAGAACAAGTTGCCACGAACGAAAAGACACTCGAGAAAAAGCAAAATAGGGCCACAGAGCAGCCAGCAACAAAATGATTCCTCCAGCCACGAGGAGCTCGAAGGACACTCTGAACAAAATGGCGAAATGCCACGAGTCACACCTGGTTTTCGAATTTCGCGCGCAGATTTTCGTGACGCAACTCGCAAGACATTTTCTCAAAAGTGGCCTTGAGTACGTTCTCAAGGATTTCAGAGTCATAAAAAAACGCACTGTAGTCTATTCGTACGTATTACTTCTATCCTTCAAGTACTTCCTTCGTTTACAAAAACTGCGTGACTTTTTTCAACAGTGTTTTGAACAAGAACCTGCTCAACGAACCGAGCCAAATGCTGGCATCGACAACCCACAATGTGGAATCTGTTCGGGATGAACCAAACTTACCTCAACATGAATGTCACATTCATGTTGAGGTAAGTTTGGTTGATCCCGAACAGATTCTCGGTGGAAGCCATGCGTGTGAGGACGTTGCCGACAGGAACTCACGAGTCAAATGAAAAAACCCCTGACACAGTGATGAAGTGAAGCTCGCGGCTGGAACACGGGGTCACGCGGCACACGCTGCTGTCAAACTAGCCAGGCTCGAACGTACAGTGCAGAGCTACTCGTACAGTGCAGAGCTACTCGTACAGACTGTGCAGAGCTACTCGTACAGTGCAGAGCTACTCGTACAGTGCAGAGCTACTCGTACAGTGCAGAGCTACTCGTACAGTGCAGAGCTACTCGTACAGTGCAGAGCTACTCGTACAGTGCAGAGCTACTCGTACAGTGCAGAGCTACTCGTACAGTGCAGAGCTACTCGTACAGTGCAGAGCTACTCGTACAGTGCAGAGCTACTCGTGCAGTGCAGAGCTACTCGTGCAGTGCAGAGCTACTCGTACAGTGCAGAGCTACTCGTACAGTGCAGAGCTACTCGTACAGTGCAGAGCTACTCGTACAGTGCAGAGCTACTCGTACAGTGCAGAGCTACTCGTACAGTGCAGAGCTATTTGTTTTGTCACCATTCGCTTCTGGCACTTAGGCTGTGTTTATATGAGAAATTTCAACCCGGGTCGAGTTCAGCCCGGGTTGAAAGTCTGTACGATAGACAAAAGAGGTGAGCGTTTACATGAAGACAGTTGACCCGGGTCAAATACTGATATGCCGCCAAAAGTCCACTTCTACAGTCCTGTATGGTCACGTGAATCCGTTCGCGCGAAATTTGCATCTGTAGTGCTGTTCAAACCTGGCGCGAGATACGCACAGAAGTACGTTTGTACGATTTTCTTGACCCGGGTTGATTTCAACCCTCCCCTTGGGGGGAGGGTTGAAATCAACCCGGGGCGAAATTTCAACCCGGGTCAAGCGCAATGCGTCATGTAAACGCGCCATTCACTTTGTGCACATGGCGGGTTGAAATCTGACCCGGGTCGAACTCAACCCGGGTTGAAACGCTTCATGTAAACACCGCCTTAGCGGTCAAATATATCGCGTATTTGAATGCTTAGTCAACACACACAATACTGTAAATATACAAATTTTCGGCAGCTATTTAATTTCGGCTATATTCGGCACCGACCCAAAACGCCTAAATTAAAACGCCGATGAAATTTTTCACAGCATATGTCGCACTACACCATGCCCTCTACCCCACGCCGAAAATAAATCGCCGCCGAAATGTCAAAAATCGTGAAGTGCCGAAATTTTGCAGCGCCGAAATTTTGTATATTTACAGTATACTTGACTACTTTTATACAGTCATGGCAAGTGAAACATGGCTAGCGAAATCCGACACTTGGCATAATAGGCGATTCACACGACAGGCAAATCCACGTGCACCGGAGCGCTCCTATGGTATTTTACCTGTGACTGGGAAAAGTGGGTAAAAGTGGCTGAAAAGTGCAAGCGAGCTGGGGGCCCACTTTCATGATAATCGTGGAGTGCACGAGTAAATTTACACCAAAAAGCGTGGAACTAGACTTGACATTTTACGAGGCTGTTTTCAACATGATAATCATTGTATGCGTGTTTTGAAAATTTGAAATACCCATGGCTACTGGTGGGTGGAGCATTCAAAAATGCAAACGTGCCTGTCGTCGAGTGCAGCCTTGTGAATCCACACAGTCACTTTTCTCGTAGATCACTCCCTGTAAAACGTGCAAGTGTCTGTCGTGTAAGTCGCCTATAAGGGACCGCACCATGCATGACTACTTTTGTCCAGTCATGGCAAGTGAAATCCGACACTTGGCATAAGGGACCGCACCATACAGTGTGTAGCCCCTGCAGCCCTGCATACGTACAGTACATGTGTTACATAGAACCTTAATTTATCTCTCTCATGACAGTAATGGTACTCATCACAGTCAAGAATCACCTCAAAGGTTCAAAGGTGCTGGCAAAAATGAATGGGGACTGGATACCAATATTCCTTATGTGTACCATGACTGTGAACTGTGTGTGTGTGTCTACGCTGTGACCTTTTGATCTGTTTGGGATGCATACGGCTCTATTGTACACATTGGGTAAAAACTATTGTGTGGAGAATACGATAAATAGATTATAGACTTCATAGTTGGTCTATAATCTTTACGTATTTTCAGTAGTAGTAAGAATTTTTGGGTGGTCTTTTTGCTTTGTTGCTTACTTCATGGTTTCACTCTATTGGTGTAATGAATAAATCCGTTCTCAAATAAGTGGGGCAGGTTATACTCTGGCTTCCCCATTTGACTTAATCTTAGAGTGGCAAACTTACCAAGAACACGTAGATGAAGTTGTTTCCAATCATGACCATAGCGACTTGAAGCAGAGCAGTTGTATACGCCAGCATCTGCTGCTGTCACTGCACCAGGAAACGAATGTGTCCAACCATCTGCACCCAATGTTCCACCAAGCGGCACTCCATCCTTCGTCCAGGAATACTTCAGTTCGTCACCGGATGCGTTGCAGTAAAATGCTAGAGAACCCAGCTTCCAGGATGATGCTACCACTGACATTGATTTGCTGATGAAAGTGATTTTGGGTTTTGCTTGAATAGACAATGCAGAAAAGCACATGAATCATCTGAGCTACAAAGTGCCATATTCATAAGTGCTAAGTGCCACGTGGATACCTATGTTGCATGGGGCACGCGTGCTCATCCGGCGAATGTGTGTGAATAATGATAACAATAAGTGCCATAAAGGGTTTGCTCCCCGCACCGGAGCTCGCGCTATTCCGCCGACTTTACTTGACACTTGACTGACTCACGACTGCCATCCAGAGCACACGAGAAGTCCATTTCTTACAAGTCATCGCCGAAGTCGCAACCACTACTTCGTACAATAAGTGCCATCATGGCATTAAACACACAGTAAGCTAAGGGTAGCTTGTTCCAGAAATTCTTGTAAAACTCCTTACCAGGACTATGAGCAGTTTGAATCAACAATGTATGGCATTGGCCAGAGCAAAATGTGGCTAATACTTGTTTGGCCGCCAGCACTAACCACGTCACGTTTTTGCCAAACGGTAACTTTTCACACAATTTGGAGCTTGAAAACATTTGTAAATTACTCACGAGCAAATACAGTCACATCCTCACCTACTTAGTAATTCAATGGTTTTATATTTTGTCACACTGCATAACGAAACTTACCCCCCACGACTAGGCTGAAGCCCCTGAAGAAATATGAATCTCTCTCGCGATTGCATTTATAAAAACCGGCTATGTCCTTGGATAGAGTACGTGGCCAAGCGATGGTGCGGTAATTCCACGAATTACCTCTGCCTATGGTAGTCCACCAAATTACATGATGTATAACACCGAGATGCTGGTTACTGGCTACTGGAGAATTCTGAAAGAACCAGAAAGGTCTTGATGATGGGACGGAACTGTGGCTTAAAATGCAACAGGTGATGGTAGGTAATGATGTTGATAGTCCATGTTCCACGCCATAGAGGACCTCACCCTCCGTTACATTGTATATAGGAATATCATATAGGCATTCTATCAGCAGACAAAAGAGATGGAAGCCAAGTATTAGTGAAACCATGTTCCAACTTTATATAACTTACTCAGTTTTCAGCTGCTTTTCTTTGCTTGCTAGATAACTTAGTAGTGTGTGTGTGTGTGTGTGTGTGTGTGTGTGTGTGTGTTGGTTTCAGGGTTCATATACTTTCTATTTGAAGTATACATACCTGTTAACCATGGGCTGCTTCTGGCTAGATTAACTCTTGTGTAATCAATGGTGCTAGTGAAGCTTATATCAGATTCACTCTGATTTAGCCACCCACACTAGTACCAAGTATTACCTTCACTGGGGGCAGGGGTACCTGCAGTTGGATCCCGAGACGGATACCCTGATGCCGTCAATCCTTTTTCTGCACCTTGTCCTCACCCACTTACTGAGGTGTGGTGAGCCCATAAGTGGGATCATTTCAAGTCCACCCTAGTTTGGGGATTTCAGGGGGTGTCGGCCGTTGGGTGGTTCAATGGCCAATTGAGTCATCTTTCCAAGATTCCTTTTGGGTCTCTCTCCCCTCTCCCGGGGAGACCCGCGTGACCAGTTTTGGCAGTGAGCAAGTACAAGTACAAGTACAAGTGTGTGTGTGTGTGTGTGTGTGTGTGTGTCCCATAATATGGTGCAGTGGTATGTTCAGCGATTTCCAATCGATAGGTTGCGGGTTCGATTCCTGCCTGACTTTTCTTTCATTCTCCTGGGTGGTTACCAACAGCCAGTGCATGCCGGAGTATGTGGTGTGATGTGTGTGCGGGAAAAAGGAAAAAAATGGAAAAGACCAAAAATAGGGATTCACTGTCCAGAAAAAGTCACTTCAAATAGCTGTATGGTGTAGACGAGGCTGAATAGTGACGGTCAATTATTCAGCCTTGCAAGCTGTTGAATGGTGCAATCCCATCACAAGTTGCTATGGCTTCTGCCGTAGCATTGCTATCATCGCCTCTGGCGATGGGCGTCAAAGGTCAAAGGTGTGTGTGTGTGGGTGTGTGGGTGTGTGTGCGTGTGAGGGAGGGAGGGTATGAGAATATAAGAGAGGGTTTGGGTCTCAGGTACTCAAGCAACCATGACTGTCTCGGTATCACAGGGGACTGGATGCAACAAATTAATACTATTTTTAGAAAAAGGAAATAACCACAGAGAATAGAGAAGCAAAGCAGCGAGGACAGAAACAAAATTGCCTGCACAAGCATTTGGAAGAGTTGGTTTTTCTTTTTCCCGGAAAACAGGAGTGAGATTGCCATGTGTCGAAGGCCTTCTCTTCCTGAAAGGCCACTAGCTATGGAAGAGATGACGACATCCTTTGACTTTAAAAGCCTTTGTTCCCATAGCTATGCAAAAGACGATACTTCAGTAACGTCTGGCGCTAGCCAGGGTCCACACAGCTTCAATTCCGTGTTTGTGTGTTTGTGGCGTCGGCATGCCTGGCGCTATCCCGTACCTGCCCCGTACCGTACCATCAAAGACAGCTGGCCACAATATTCAAATAAGGCTTTCAAATGCAAGATAATAACGTGAAGCAACTTGGAAGAATGAGTATGTATGCGAAGTGTATCGGGGGAAATGCATGCAGGGCGATAGTGCGGGTTCGAATCCCAGGAGAAATGAAAAATGTATAACATCCCTATGCTTTTTTTTGGCTAGGTCATCATTCTGCAATTACTTTTGCCTAACTCATATTCAAACTGATTGAAACGTTTTTGCAATACAATGATGTAGCTAATCAGTGCAAAAATCATTTCCATCAGTTCTGATAACATGCATGATGAGCTAGGCAAAAAAACATAGCGTAGGGCCCTGAGCTTCCAAGCTCTCTTGTTTTGTTAATCACATGGGCATACTGAATGAAAAGATTTTCTGTAACAGAGAGTTCCAAAGGAGACGGTGGTGTAAGGAAAGCATTTCAGAAAACCTTCTCTGGCATGGAAGGGTTTGTCACCGACTGCTGGCATGGATGATTGTATTTTGCCCCCAAAACATTGTTAGCTCTGAACCCAGATTTGGAGCATTTGCTTGATTTGTGGGCTATGCAGCTTGCAATCGTGACCACAGGCTTGATCTATGGTGAAAAAGGAGAAGGACAACATGTTACGAGTTATGACTAACTGTCCACCAACGTACCCAGATCTTATACAGTCAGCGAGTGCGACAAAATGGCACAAAACTGATAAGGAGTACTGAGACATTTTGTACATTGTGTCCTTCTCCTTTTTCACCATAATTTAATTGGCTCACTATCCGAGTTGAACAGGATTGATCTGGTGACCTTAGACGTGGGCCAGACAAGCAATGCTAAATCCGTGCGTGTATGAATATGCCTGACCCCAAGGGCGACTGTAATGGGTAGCCCAGAGTCGAAATATACATACTGGACTTTGGCAAGGTAGTAACCTATCTGTCTCACTTGATACAGTGAAGATTGGACAACACTTCCTCCGCGTCATTGAAATTTTCGCTTCGCACATCGTAAATATTTGTGACTTGGCTCGCCTTAGTCAGACTGTCGGGATCGCTGTTTTCTGTGTTCGAACACTGGTGCGACCCTTCCTGCACAATGTCTATGTGTTACCAAAGCCGTGGTGGTCTCTGACTTTGTCGGAGCTCTCTTCCGCACCAAGCAAATTCATCGCGCTCCGCACTATTCCGCCCCAGAGCACATTTCATTTTCTGGAGTTCGTGCCGTGCCATGTCGTTCGCGTGGGCATTTATCAAGACCACATCGGCCAAGAGTGCAATGTGGTGGTGTGGTGTATTGGACTACAAGCTTGGGTATAAGAATCCTGGTATCTCTCCTAAATACGAAATGCTGAAATTGACGATGGCAAGAACAAAGCGGTCTCAAATTCCGAAAATGCGCTGCATGTGGCGCATGTTGCTGCGAAGGTAGCAGGTCTGAAAACAACAAAAAATCAGCGAAGCGCTTGCCAATGAAAGAAGGTGCGGAACTGCTTACCCTATCCCGCTGGAAGGTCGTTACAGTGTACTTGAAAAATGCTAGCTTGGCTTCATCGCCTGCCACCTGGAGGCATGGATCGATTGAAAACGAACTTTCTTGACCTGAATTTGAACGCGCGTCTTATTCAGCGTATTGTTGAGTGCTGAAGCAAACTCTGATGAAGACATCGACCTTAGCTGCAAGTGCAGCGAAGCGGGAGGCCACAACTAAAGCTTGGTTTGTCGACAATGCTCTGCCTCAATTTCTAGCTGATTTCTTTGCCCTTCGAGTGGACAAAATACATTTGAAAAATCACTCTGGGAAGCGACAATTTTAATGTTTCGGAGGAATTACGACCATGCATATTACTGTATAGCAGGAAATTTTCTGACAGAAATATTTTCGGATAAAGCAAATTTTCGACCTTTCGTACGTACATGTATTTTATTTTCGTACAGTGCTGCATGCTAAATGCACTTGTTCGCATGCGGCACGGCACACATGTATAAATAAAAGTAAGTAAATTATCGTTTCCGTTCCCGAAGGGTACAGTGTACATAACTTCACAGGAACAAAATGTTAAACAGTTTCCTCTGAACAAATTTTAGTACGGAATTAATTTCAGTACAAAAGAGGCCGTGTACGAAATCTAGGAAAATAAATTCCGTCCAAAAATTTCCTGCTATTCAGTATGACAACAAGTAGAGTTTTAAAGGGGCACTCCGGGAATATTTTCGGCGGTGTGTTCTCTTCATGGGGGCCTTATATGGCCCCCAAGGAATGGGGAATCGCGAAAACTAGACCCAAAAAGTCGATATATGAAGCCAGGGAGGGCCAAGTTTGTCTCCTCTTTTGATGGTTTTGATGACGTCACGTGTGATTAGTATTCAAATTCTCTGCATTTGAAGATCTTAGTTGTTTGAATTTTCTGGTGAGGAAGAACGATGTTTGGTCGACATTCCCAAGCTTCACAACTGCGGACATACTCTAAGGAACCTGAAGGACCCCCTGAGGTGCCCTTGGTAGAAGCGTGGCCTGATAAGGGCCAGGAGATTGGAGCGGACGACTTCACTGGTCCGAGTACGAGGGTCCCGAAATTCTCTATACGCCGTGAGGCATATGGTCAGAACAGTTTTGTTTAGACAAGCTGACGCGAAGTCGGGGTGATGTGTAACGCATGTCAAAGGGCTGTCAATGCTAACAGCTGCAGCGCTCTCTCGACAGCGAAGGTAATCGACTGCCCTCTGCATCACCCCACCAACACCAATCGTTATTTCCTTGTCGACCAGTGAAGTCGTCCGCTCCAATTTCCTGGCCCTCATCAGGCTGCGCTTCTACCAGGGGCACCTCAGGAGGTCCTTCAGGTTCCTTAGAGTATGGTCGCAGTTGTGAAGCTTGGGAATGTTGACCAAACATCGTTCTTCATCACCAGAAAATTCAAACAACTAAGATCTTCAAATGCAGAGAATTTGAATACTAATCACACGTGACGTCATCAAAACCATCAAAAGAGGAGACAAACTTGGCCCTCCCCGGCTTCATATATCGACTTTTTGGGTCTAGTTTTCGCGATTCCCCATTCCTTGGGGGCCATATAAGGCCCCCATGAAGAGAACACACCACCGAAAAAATTCCCGGAGTGCCCCTTTAAGCAACAATATCCTGTTGCCAAGCAACAATATCCTGTTGCCCCA